TAAATCATACTACTTACATGGGTGTTCATGAATTTTATAGTAAAACAATATTCATAAAGGATTTTTATGTATATGTTAGGATCTCTTCGCAGTTGAAGAGGCCTCGTGTTCAAGAATGGAATTTACGTTAACTCAATAGTAATAAGCGAGCTGAACTATGTGAATTTTCTCAAATGTGCTAAAATATCTACGTTAAATATAATAAAGGACAGGATAGACCTGGTCGGGTAAACACTAAATAAGTAAACAAAATTGTGGGAAAAAGCTGAGAAGCATAAAAAACCCAATTTATTAGAAAAAAGCGAGCAAATTAAATAAACTGTAATGTAAGTAAGACAACAAATAAAGAAGGTGTAAGCAGCGTGTGTATGCGTGTGTAGAAAGATCAAAGAGACGGTCAGTAGAAGTAGAGTACGAATAGGTCGGCACGTGGTGCTGAGTCTGAGAGACCGGGAAGACGGAGACGTCGATTCCGCGTGTCACTCGAGCTGGTGGACGTCCAAGAAGATAGGTAAGAATGGAGAGAAGCTCTCACACTCTACGTACCGGCTGGCCAAGCGCGGTCGCACAATTAAGGGCGACGATGATGACGTGCCCGGTCGGTGGTAATCGTGACGAAGTGAAGTTTCCGGACACACGTGTGTGGCGCAATCTGCGGTACGTGAGCCCGCGCTCGTGAGCAATTTACGCGTGTTCCACGTACACGACAAAACTGTTAGTCGCGATCAAAAATGTTGTTCACGGATTGAATGCTCAATATTAACCCAAAAACAGAATCTATAGAACAAACAAGAAAAGATACTGATCTCACCAAGTGGCATCGGCAGAGGACTGTCGTCATCGAGGAGCGAGAACAGAGTGAACAAATGCGCGTGGCACTTTTCTGAAGATTCGGTAGCTCTCCCTCATTATCCTTTTATCTCTCCCCCCAGTCTGAAAGCACACCAATTAGCAAACGATGTGTAATAGACACGCCCGCGCACGTGTGCACGATTTTTCCGATGTGAGCTGAACGGAGTGTGCACGACCGAGAGAGACTAGCGTATTACTATATCAGTTTGAGACGGAACACGCTCTCCCCGTTGCGTGGAAACGTGAGCAAAATAACATATAGATAGAGCTGATGTGTCTGAGCGTGATGTAAAGGTTAAAATAAAATTTGTGTGACTATGTTTCTATTGGTAATGGATAGAGTTGTGTAATATTTCGTGTGTATTCTCCTTGAGCGGTTTTGATTATTGCAACTCCGGTGATTCTGTCGCTCACAGGATGACACTTGAGGACTACTCCCAGCAGCCACTGAGCACACGGCAGCTTCTTGTCGATGAGGGTGACAACTGAGCTAACTTTTATTTCACCCTTGGACTCGAGCCACTTCTGTCGCCTTTGGAGCTCGCTGAGATATTCCAAATGCTACCTTCTCCAGAAATCTTGACGTGCTCGCGAGATAAAGCGCCACATGGATGGACGGTTAGCTGTAACAGAAAGGAGATTATCTTCGGGCAGCATCGTAAGAGGGCGATCAATTAATAAATGAGCAGGTGTAAGTGTGGAGGGGTCGTTCGGATCGGTAGAAAGAGTGCAAAGGAGCCTGGAATTTAAAATACCCTCAACTTTCATGGTGAAGGTGTTAAGCGCTTCAAAAGTCAGAAGTTGTCCACTGATTACGCGTTTAAAATGATGTTTGAACGATTTTACCGCGGCTTCCCATATGTCCCCGAAATGGGGCGATAATGGCGGATTGAAATGCCACTGAATATTTTTTCGTACGGCTTGATGGTGGATTTCTTCACGAAAATTTTCTGAATTAAACGTAGCATACAGCTCCCGTAGCTGATTATTCGCACCTACAAAATTGGTCCCACTGTCGGAGTATACGTGAGAGGGAATTCCACTGCGCCCGCAAAAACTTCTGAATGCGCCCAAAAATCCGTCGGTCGTCATATCGCTAACTATTTCTGTGTGCACCGCCTTCGTCGTCATGCAGACAAACACACATCTATACGCCTTGATTTTATTCCGATTACGAAACTTTTTCTCTGTGACATAAAGGGGGCTGAAATAATGCACGCCAACATTATCAAAGGTCGCCGCTTGGTTAACTTGCGATTTCGGTTAATCACCCATTTTTGCCTGCAGTGGAATAGTTTTGTGTCGGATACAAGTGACGCAGTTTCGGACGATTTTTCAGACTTGGGATTTTCCGTAAAACGCTGCCGTATATTAGATAAAGTGGTTTGAATGCCGGTGTGGTGATGATCACGGTGGATTTCAGTAATAATAAGTTTCGAAACGTGATGATATGACGGTTAAAGTATAGGGTATTTCTGTTGCTCGGAAATATTCGCGTTGCGCAATCGACCACCGACGCGTATTAGACCATGTTCGTCTAAAAACGGGTTCAACGCGGCTAATTTAGTATTTTCGCCGCCGCCCCCCGATATGCGCTTTATCTCTTGGCTAAATTGCTCATGCTGAATTAAAGAGAGTATTTTTCATTCGGTTTCTGTTCTTTCGCGCGTACTGATTTCTCTTTCGGTGTAACGACTGAGGCACAAACGTGACGGACGTAAACGTAAACAATGGGAAATTGAATTGAGCAAAGTGGAATAAGATGAAAAACAATTAAACAAAGTGCAAATAATGGGCTGTAAAATCAGGTAAAGATTTTTTCGCATTCCAGGCTGTTCAGAGACCATAATTTCTTTACTCGCGGGCCAAGTGTCAACGGCCCTTCTCAGCCAAATGGGTCCCGAAAACCAATTGGCGTTCCGCAAAAATTCTGCTGGAAACTGCCCTCTCGATAACGCATCAGCCGGATTATCCTTTCCGCTTATGTGTCGCCATTTTACATTATCACTGAGGGCTTGAATTTCGGCAACGCGATTCCCTTCGAATACTTGAAGCGCTTGAGGGGATTTTTTGAGCCACTGCAGCACGATCATTGAATCCGACCAAAAAACTGCCTGATCTACCGGCAGATTCAGTGTCGCATGTGATTCCTGGTATAGGCGCACTAAGGTCAAAGCGCCGCATAACTCGAGGCGCAGAATTGTCGTAGCCATTCGGTATTTTGAACAAACTAATCTATCAAGTACGTGGCCGCTACTATCGCTTGATCGCACATATAAACATGCCCCGTACCCCGCCTTACTCGCGTCGGAAAAACCATGGATTTGTATATGCGTCGGGTTGCTTATTATCACTCGTCGCTCGATGGACAATTCGCGCAGGCAACCGATTTGACTCGCAAGCAAGTTCCATTGGTATATAGAGCCTGTGGTACCGACTCATCCCACTTAATTTCAGCCTTCCAACATTCCTGCATAATCAGACGCGCGGATAAAATTACTGGGCCTAGCAAACCGAGAGGGTCGAAAATTTTCGCAGCTTCGGAAAGAATGTAGCGCTTTGTTAATTTGACGGATATATCAATGGGTTGCACAGAGTATTTGAGCTTATTGGATTGAGCGTCGCAAAATACGCCTAAGGTCTTTTTTAATTCGCTTTCCTTTGTCGCCTGGAATTAATTACTTTATTATCTGATTCATTCGACAAAAGCAAATTATTGCAGGCCTATTGACGTATATTAAATCTACCCCTTTGTAATACTTTAATCAGCTCGTCGCGTATTTTGAAACACTCATCGAACGAATCCGTACCCGTTATGAGATCATCCACGTAAAAATCGCGCTTCAGAATTTCACTAGCCCGGGGAAACTTAGCGCTCTCATCGTCGGCGAGCTGTTGGAGGGTGCGTATGGCCAGAAACGGCGCGGATGATACACCGAACGTCACGGTATTGAGCTCATATGCTCGAATCTCCCCTTGACTATACCACAAGATTCGCTGATATTTTCGATCGTCCGGATGTATCAAAACCTGCCTGTACATAGCCTCGATATCGGCGGTGAGAGCGTAGACGGGTAGACGAAACCTTAACAAGTGCTCGAATAGCTTGGGCTGTATAGTGGGTCCGACCATTAACGCACCGTTTAGCGAGCAGCTTTTTTTTACCTTCGCCGACGCGTCAAAAACTACTCGCAATTTTGTCGTGGCGCTCGAGGGCTTCAAAACGGCGTGATGAGGAATATAATAGCCTCCTGACGTTTCCTGCTCCATCAGCGTCATGTGTCCCAAATCGATGTACTCTTGCATAACCTTCGTGTAATTCGCTTGATATCCCGGGTTGGCATTAAATTTACGTTGAAAAGAAAAAAACGGCGTAACGCGTGTAACCTAGTATCACCGAATGAAGGATCACATGTATGAAACGGAAGGCGCACTATATATTTCCCGCTCGAGACGCGTTTCGTGTGTTGGACGTAGGGATTTTCACACAGCGTGTCTTCGAGCGATCTGGTAGATTTATCGGTCGCGTCCTCTATTGCCCAGAATTTGGTTAGTTGGTCAGCTAATTCGGTTAGATTACAAGAAATCGAGCGCGCTTCTATGTCGTTATTTACACCCCCAACAATGGTCCAGCCCAATCGCGTTTTTTGTAAAAATAAGTCACAGTTGTCACGTGACAAATTTATTTGGCCTATCGATAACAAAGAGAGGGTTGCGTCTGCGTCAATCAATAAATCTACGGCCCGAGGAAGGTGGACGCACGGATCGGCTAATCTCACGTTTGCAGGGATTTCGATTTCACCTCGTGGAAACGGCTCGTTCGGGACGAGGTCGGCAATCCTCTCTACCGTGAGAAACGTTAATGCCCTTTTAAACTGACAAGTACGCGAAAAAAAGGTAAGATTGAGACTGTTCTTCGACGTCGATTGCATAGCGTCCATTGCGTTGATAGGTATTACACACGGCTGCATGGGTAGTTGAAGTTTTCGCGCAAAGCTCTCCGTAATAAAATGCGCGGTCGAACAAGTATCAAGTAGCATGCGGGCTTCCATAAATGTACCGTCCCGACCCTGTACGTCAACTACCGCGCTCATGATGATCTGGTGCTGTGACGTACGAGAAGTCGTGCTTAAAGCATCCACGCCTAGTCAAGCGGCTGGTTTATGGGCTGGCTCGAATTTGGGGATGCCCTTCGATTCGGGGTCAGCATGCAACGAAGTGTGATGATGGCGAGTGCATCGTCTGCAGTTCATAGAGGCGCACTTTCCAAGGTGAGTACGGAGACAATTACGACATAAGCTTGTCGTTTTCGCGAAGTCCCAATGCTGTTGGACAGTTGATTTGTCATAAACCGGGCATTTAAAGAGCGCGTAATTGTCTCCGCACTTAGCGCAAGTGATCGTAGCGGTAGTCGTGTTAATTACGAGCACACGGGCTCCAGCTTTGTTCTTCCGCATTTTTGACGGACCTGATTGATCTGCACGACGCTTTCCGGCGAAACCGTTCCCCTGGCGCACGGGTGCTTGTTCTGATTGTTCGAGTCGATACGCGAGATTTTCAATAAACGTATAAAATTGCTCAAGCAAGAGCAGCGTCTGTAGATTCACGGTTTTTTCCCACTCGTCAAGGATATTCTTAGGGAGCGCGTGCTCAAGAATCGTGAGAGTAAGGTGAGGATCGGGTTTTACGCCTAGAAAAGCGAGCTGAATAATGTGTTGGCGCATATCATCGACCAACCTTGATAGTCCGTCGGAAGTAGCAGCCGTTATCTTTGCCAGATCGATAATGGCGTTGAGATGTTTCGATACTAACACGCGTTTCTTATGGTATTTATTATTTAGGAGTTTCCAAGCCGGCTTGTAGTTTTCCGCGCTCGTCTCATAAACCGCGATTGGACTCAGAGTGGCTCCTAGCAGGGAATTCTTTATGTACATGAATTTATTGAAGTCATCGATATCAGTGCGCGAATCAATCATGTTGGTAAAGGTATTACGATACGACAGCCACTCGCTGTGATTGCCGTTGAACGTTGGGAGCTCGGGCACGGGAAGTTTCGGTAGACGCGGTTTAGCGAGCAGCGTTGAATGACCGCCCGGAAGGGTAGCCGAGTTATCCAGCAACGTGGAGCCCGGCATGTCCTTAACCGTGCTTGACACGCTGTAAAAATCGTCCTCGATACTAGTGTAAATTGTCGCCAATTCGGTGTTCTCGGAATCCAGTTCTTCAAGTTCGCAGTGTAAAGTTTCATACTCGTGAAACAGCGTGGTCAGGTTCGCGAGGCACAACTTCGCGTTAGTTTTATCGAGCTTCTGCTGATCAAGTAACTTCGACAAGGTCGTAATCTTCCCTTTAAGAGTTAAGCGCTTTTTCGCGATGTTGGCTATACGTTGAGCCGTGCCCGCCATGATGTCCTAGTAGCAAGGGCGAGAGAAATAATTTGACACAAATTAACGTTAAAACTTGGAAGCGTTTTGCTGGCTCAAACATGTCGTGATGGCACGATCAGATAGGCGATGAGTTACACGTGGCGTTAAGCACATGAATGCACGAACGGCAATAGGTGAAAAGTCACTCTTATATACTAGGGGAGTAAAATTAACACAGGTACTTACCTGCTGGCTCGGCTACAGCTGCTGGAGAGCGAGGTATCCTTGACGGGAGCGACGGCCGAGTTGATGTTGCGTGCAGGCCAATAACAGATGCCGTTGTTCTTCTTCCTTGCACTTTATGTGTGTGTAGGAGAAGAGGAGAAACGTGTATACGCGTGTTCACACCTCACAGGAGGCACCAAAAAATGTACGTATATGTGAGGATCTCTTCACAGTTGAACAGCCCTCATGTTTAACAAGGGAATTTACGTTAACTCAATAGTAATAAGCGAGCTGAACTATGCGAATTTTCTTAAATGTGCTAAAATATCTACGTTAAATATAATAAAGGACAGGATAGACCTGGTCGGGTAAACACTAAATAAGTAAACAGAATTGTGGGAAAAAGCTGAGAAGCATAAAAAACCCAATTTATTAGAAAAAAATTTTTATGCCAAAAATAACTCTGAATACAGGAAAGTCATCATCATTACCTTGTATTTTATACAGAAAACAATTTCATTTAGTCCCAGCGTTCACCATGACAATAAATAAATCCCAAGGTCAAAGTTTCAATAACATTAGATTATATTTTTTTTTTTTAAATACTGTTTTCGCATGGTCTACTATACGTCACGGTATTAAGATGCGAAAATCTAAATAGAGTTTATAAACTAATAGAACATGACAATAATTTAGAAGTAGAAAATTTTGTTTGAAACGAAATTTTTGCCGTTAACTAATCTAAAAAAGATAACAATTAAATTTTTGCACATTTCTAAAAGTACAAAAATGTATGTAATATTATTGCACAGTTTATTTAAATACTTGATAAATGTATGAAATCAATTAAATTATTATTTAAATACTGTTATTTGACACAATAATGTTACTTGTCATAAGTAGTTAATGTTGCTTGCTTTTATTAAAAAAATAAAAATTGCACTGTATTATTAAATGTAAGTATATTTTTTAAATTTATTATTGGTTTTATTTAACATCCTTGTTTACAAAAAAACCTTTCAGGTGTGTCACGGGTGACTCTCGGAAGATGTGAAAACATATTCGAAGCACGACAGACATTTGATGCATAATTATTAGCTTATATTTAAATCTTGAAGAAAGTGCTATAGTAATATTAATAGGACCGGCTTAAAAGTAAATCGCTAATAATTATATCCCTTGTCATTGGATGTTTATGACAAAATGATATTTTACTGTTGTATTGCAATGTATTTGTTATCGCTGCTGTAGCTGTTATTTCACTTGGTGATTTATTACCATTGTTGTCATCCATGCTTAACATTATATTAATTATGTAGCAAAAGTAAGAAGCACGTGCAGAAATTAAAAGGTTGTACCTATTTGCCTCAGTAGCATCAGCGCTAGTGCCACCATCAGCCGGAAGAGTAAACATAGGTGCCGGGATAAAAGTACAGATAAAAGAATTTAGTTGTATTTAAACTCTGCTTTACGATACCACACATAAGTATGTGCTTTACTTTGTACACGCACTCGCCTTCTTTGTACGGTTGGAATTTGTTCTTATTAATTCTATTACATTATTAAATGTAATAAAAGGACATTGTTTTATTATGTCTACCTCATGCTCGCTTACGTTTCATTCTGGCACCTATGATTACCCTTCCGGCCGATGGTGTCACTAGCACTGATGCTACCAAAGCGAATATGAAGCACTATGTACAGTTATACTCGAACCTATATGTCGAGTGTCGACATTGTCGACTGCTGTACTGCACTGCGAGCGAGCACGTAACTATACACACACACTCATACACATACTTTTGCTCTCTCTCTCTCTCTCTCTCTCTCTCTCTATTATCCTACAGTTAGTTGCTTCTGCTCTGCACTGAGATACGTATATACGCCGTGCTTCCTACTCTACCCAGTTCCCACTTAATTGGCCAGCAGCCATGCACATCATGTGTCCGGGTGCGTGCGTGCGCATGTATACTTAGCTGCTTGTAGCGAATACATTATTCAGTATATCTATATCTTTTGGCTGGCAGTAGCGTAAACTCAGCGCTCCTCAATAGAAGGAGAGAGAGAGAGAGAGAGAGAGAACGGTATTAGTAAATCTGTATAGGCATGACAGAAAAAGCGTTACGCTTTGAAAATTTTCACTGCCCAAGTAAAGTAAAGTAAAGAGTCCAAACCTCGAATAAAATATTTTCACATCAAAAAGTTTTATTAGTTAACTGGTTTATTTTTAAAAATTGTATTTGTAATGTTGAAACAGTAAATTATATCAAGAACGAACATGAGTTTAAATAATATGTACATTAAGTTTTCAAACAATAAGAAATTTACATTGCATATACATTCTTTCTATTGAATATAGCGCATTACTTAGGTTGAAAACAAAAGAGTTAACTTTAGTAAAATAGTTGATATATTTTAATAGAAAGGGAAATATAATTTTATCTATTAGTAGTGAATAGGGCTGGTGATTGACAATTTCTATGAGAGATCGCAAGCATCGTTGTGTCGCAATTGGTTTCAAAGGCTACTATCTGCGTGTGTATAGCTATAACCGGTATATCGTCAAAAATCGCTTAATAGCGATCAGTGTGGTACACGCACACAAGAGCGGGTATACAACGTCGGCAAATATCAGCCTAAAATAAATTAAAATTTTATTTGCGCTGACAATTCTCGTCGTTTAACACTTTACAAATGGAAAATTTCTGAGTACTTTTATTCTTACAAAAAAAAATAAATTTCGCATTTCGGATGGTACTGGTTTTTTAGGTTATCCTATCACCAGGGGAATTAATTTCCTGTGTAAACAACATACAATTCTCAATCTCATTCAATTTTTTTTTTTTATGGTTTTTTTTAAAATAGTTTCAAGTTATTAAACGAATATATAATATTTTTCATTCATGGGTTGAGTCACTTACATTGTTTTTTCAGATTTTTCGATGAGATTTAGGTGCTCAAGCAATTGTAAGAACTCGAGTAGTGCACTTGCGTCTACATTTTTTCTACATATCGTCGATGGTAGACATGGTTAATTTCTATTTTATTTGAAAACTCTTATTATTCTTATTCATTGTAATCTGATAATTTAAATTAATACATTGTATTTTAAATGATGTTTGAACGATNCCTAAGAAAACCCTTATTTTCTTATGGGCAATCGTATGTTGCGTTGTCCAGATGTAGAAACCCAAAGATAATTTTTTATTCATGTTGAATCAGAAAACAAATTTGAAATTGAAAATATTGTTTGGAATGAAATTCTAAAGTAACAAAAAAACTATTCCATAGTTTATTACTATTTTTATACTTTCTTACAAAATTATTTCTTATCAAAAAAGCCAATTCCAGTACCTTTTAGTACCCAGACTTATAGAATCATATACAATCCGTTTTATGTTATTTGTTTTTAGATATACCATCATGGATGCAAAATTTAATCAGTGTGACAAATGTAAATTAAAATTTTTAAATCAAGAATGTTTATCATCGCACAAAAAAATTGGCAAAAAAAATTTTTGTGTAAGTAATTTATGTAAGATTATTATATTGAGGCAAAAAGACTCTTTGCATCACAAAAAAAAAAAAAAACCAAAACATTTAAAAAAATTTCAAGTATATGAAATGCGGGAAATCTTCGAAAAAAAAATTATAACTTACAAAGACATTTAAAAAATAATGAAAGAAACGTTAAAAAAAATTTTTGTCAAAATTGTGGGAAAGGTTATGTATGAGCAGAGCACCTAAAAAGGCATTTTAAAGTATGTTATTAAAATAAACATCGCTAGTAAGTGAAATTGTAACAAAATTTGTTGTTATAGTCAAATAAAATTATATGTGATAATAAGTTTATATACAAGGCTTTACAAATTTATTCACTACATTGTTATACATACTAATTATATCACATAATGTGATACAATTGGGGGAAGGTAGGGTGGGCGAGGGAGAGCTAGAAAAAATATAGGATTACTTGAAATATGCAAGAAAATGAAAGAAAAAAACTACCTTCTTTGGGGGGAGCGGGGGGGGAGGTGGGGGAGAAAAACCTTGCTTTTAACTCTAACAACTATATGTTATGGGAAGATATATATGTTTATGCAAAGGTACCTTACGCGAACAATTACATGTGTGGGAGGGTATTTATGAGGACAAAAGAGGAATTATGCGAATATCCGCATAATTCCACCACGTTATTGATATATATGGCTGATTCTGCTGTAACTTGCTCAGATCGTGCCCGGTATTTATACTCACGTACCATACTGAAATCCAAAACTTCTAAAACGTTAAATTGTGTTAAATGTTGTCAACTTCACTTGACATTTTGTCTAATACCGATACATTAATTTTTTCATTGAGATGATCGATCATTAGGAGTCGAATTTTCCATTCCGACCTATGTCCACAACTCAATTTCAATCATAAAAACTTTCAGCGGTAAAAAATAAGGCTTTTCTACTACTTAAGCGTGTAAGCATTATATACTCTAGCTATTGGTAATTAGATTTATACCTTAGTCTCACAAAAAATCAACAAAAACGAGTGAGTCTCACTGCATACATTTTGTCCGCATATTTGCCCCATAATGGTGGTTTTAACAAAAATCAGTTTAAACTAGTAACTTTATGAACTGGAAATGCTAACCAATGGTCACTTTTTAAAGAATAGGACTAAAATGAATAAATCCTTACAACAGTAGTACCTGAAGTTGTTACCTCTCGAATAGCCAAGCTCTTCTTTTTGCGTATTTCGCGCGTACAAACATTTCATTCCGTTCCGACCCCCCATGGAACAACCACTCGGTGTACGTG